ATAGGGAGATGCTCTCAACACGGAACTATATATCTGTTGTATATAGGGAGGTTCAGTCCACACGGAACTATATATCTGTTGTATATAGAGAGTTTCAGTCAACACGGAACTACATATCTGTTGTATATAGAGAGGTTCAGTCAACACGGAACTATATATCTGTTGTATATAGAGAGGTTCAGTCAACGCGGAACTATATATCTGTTGTATATAGGGAGGTTCTGTCAACACGGAACTATATATCTGTTATATATAGGGAGGTTCAGTCAACACGGAACAACATACCTGAGGTTTATCGGATGGTTTACCTTACTAAACTAAACATTTGTGATGTATAATGTGCCTCCGAGGCTCAGAACTATATTTCTGATGTATAATGTGCCTCCGAGACTCAGAACTATATTTCTGATGTATAATGTGCCTCCGAGACTCAGAACTATATTTCTGATGTATAATGTGCCTCCGAGACTCAGAACTATATTTCTGATGTATAATGTGCCTCCGAGACTCAGAACTATATTTCTGATGTATAATGTGCCTCGAGACTCAGAACTATATTTCTGATGTATAATGTGCCTCGAGACTCAGAACTATATTTCTGATGTATAATGTGCCTCCGAGACTCAGAACTATATTTCTGATGTATAATGTGCCTCCGAGACTCAGAACTATATTTCTAATGTATAATGTGCCTCCAAGACTCAGAACTATATTTCTAATGTATGATGTGCCTCCGAGACAGAGAACTATATTTCTAATGTATAATGTGCCTCCGAGACAGAGAACTATATTTCTAATGTATAATGTGCCTCCAAGACTCAGAACTATATTTCTAATGTATAATGTGCCTCCGAGACTCAGAACTATATTTCTAATGTATAATGTGCCTCCGAGGCTCAGAACTATATTTCTGATGTATAATGTGCCTCCGAGACTCAGAACTATATTTCTGATGTATAATGTGCCTCCGAGACTCAGAACTATATTTCTAATGTATAATGTGCCTCCGAGACTCAGAACTATATTTCTGATGTAAACCGGCGCCGTCGACACCTGGAGTCCACAGTGGTTCAATAGAAGGTATTTCAGAAAAGCCCCTTCCTTCTCACTGGATAGGGAGTGCCCATCAGAAGACATATTGTGTTAACGGATGTTGTTACGCTGTTGACGGTAAACTTACTCCCCGATCAGAGAGTGTTACGCGTTGTTGGTGTCAGAAGCGTACAACATTTTCATCTATTTCTTGAAGCTTTACGCAGCTTCAAAGTGGCAGACCGAAGCACTTCAAAGCCCTACGCCCTGAGCGACACTGGGATGTTGTGTCTGATTAGAACTTTCCTGCCCTGTTTATAAACATAAATAAACGGTTTTCCCAGCTGGACTGTCGTGGTCAGAGCAGTATGCAGTGTTTATTTTTTAAAAGAAATTCGGTAAGTAACCGGTACGAATATCCTGGTGTTTTGGCTCGGAATCGAAAAGTCAAGATATTATGAGCTTCTGAAGACACTACCTCCATAATTAACATCCATAATTAAGTTGATGATGTACTGACTGTATGACATCTATGGCTAATTGTGTTGATGCATGTATTGCCTTGTGATGAGTATGTAGTTTAACGAGGGTATGGGGGCGTTTACAGTGAACATTGTTGAATTCGTCCTCGGGGCAACATGGTGAGTTGACCTCTGTACATCACTTATACATTTCCGACACTGATTGCGACCATGTCTGTTTGTGGGTTTATTACAGCTATATGACTGTGGCCTGTAAATAATTGAGCTTGGACCAGACGGTAGAGAGATTGACATCACGAGCATCGTTCGACGTAATTGGGATACGATGACATTTGTAAACCAAGTCAGCGAGCCTGACCACCCGATCCCGTTAGTCGCATTTTACGACAAAAATGGGTTACTGAAGATCAATTGTAGACCGGATTTTCACGGGTATTGTGATCATGTAACTTGCGAATGCGGATGTTTGCGTTTCGAACGTCTGTGGTCCATATGTCACTGGTTAACGCAGACATGGGTCATCATCATCATCATCATCATCATCATCATCATCATCATCATCATCATCATCATCATCATCATCATCATCATCACGCTCACCACCGTGGTCGTTACCGTCGTCATCATCGTCGTCGTCGTCATCATCATCATCATCATCATCATCATCATCATCATCACCATTGTTGATGTAATCATCACTATAATCATCTCCATCTTCATCATCACCATTGTTGATGTAATCATCACTATAATCATCTCCATCTTTGTCGTCGCCGTCACCGTCGCCATCATCATAAGTTTGTATTAATCTGTGCAGGTTCTGGGTGATGTCACGTCAGTCTCTTTAACAGCAAACTCCTTTCAATGCGACACTGCAAAACAATTCGGGCTACACGTTTTCAAATGTTTCAATATCACAGTCTGTGAGACACCGACCTGCAAAGTCGCTATCATCTTTATCTGCATATAAATGCTTGTCTCCTCCCTGTCTTCATTACATCAAATCTGAAGAGATCTCGACCCACCTAGGTATGGTTTCACAAGATCGGCGTAAAATAGATCTCGTGGCTCGCGATGCTTTTAGAGGCTAAAAAGTCGACAAGCCACACAGTGGTGTAATTAAGATGGGAGGCTGATTGTCGAACAAAGACCCGCAGTTTGAACACGAACTTAGTGCTGCTTATACGAGGCTTGTGAAATGGAAGCTTTAGCTTTTCCTGAAGAATGTGTCTGGGGCTGGGGTTTCATAGAACAAATGGACAGGGAAATGATCTCTTCTTTTCTTTCTGAAGTACTTGTATGGAGCGTTGCTGAAGAGATAATTTCGCCAATTGATTTTATGAACGTTCTGATATAGGGGTGATGGTACATAGATAACCAGTCTGACATCTAGGTGATGACGCGAAAGTGATGTCCCACTGTATGTACGCTCTTACAGACGAGTGATGACTTACTGTATGTACCGTCTTACAAGCAGGTAATGGCTTACTGTACGTACAATATACAAACAGATGATGACTTACTGTATGCACACTCTTACAGACAGGTGATGACTTATGTTATGTACACTCTTACAGACAGGTAATAGACAGGTGATGACTTATGTTATGTACACTCTTACAGACAGGTGATGACTTACGTTATGTCCACTCTTACAGACAGGTGATGACTTACGTTATGTCCACTCTTACAGACACGGGATGACTTACGTTATGTCTACTCTCACAGACAGGTGATGACTTACGTTATGTCCACTCTTACAGACAGGTGATGACTTATGTTATGTACACTCTTACAGACAGGTAATAGACAGGTGATGACTTACGTTATGTCCACTCTTACAGACAGGTGATGACTTACGTTATGTCCACTCTTACAGACAGGTGATGACTTACGTTATGTCCACTCTTACAGACACGGGATGACTTACGTTATGTCTACTCTTACAGACAGGTGATGACTTACGTTATGTCCACTCTTACAGACAGGTGATGACTTACTGTATGTACATTCTTGCAGACAGGTGATGACTTACTGTATATACACTCTTGCAGACAGGTGATGACTAACTGTATGTACACTCTTATAGACAACTGACGACTTACAGTATGTAACAGACAGGTGATGACTTACTGTATGTAACAGACAACTGATGACTTACTGTATGTAACAGACAGGTGATGACCTGCTGTATGTAAGACAAGTGATGACGTACGGGTGATGTCTGTGTACCTACACTAATCTCTGCAGTACAAACCCAAGATGGACCTGCTACACTCAATGTATCCTGCAGGGGAATGTCTGTATAATGGGGTTCCAGACTCTTCACAGCGGTTTATTAGCTAAAACAATGGAAACAAAAACAGCCCTACGGGCATATTTAGCGGGAAAAACTGCAGCATCAGCACGACCCTCACCTCGGCAGGAAACTATAAGCACAAACCTTCCTGTTTCTGGGAGAGAAGAAGCCGGCCGTCTCCACACTAGGGAGTTCTCATAACACAGCCCAACAAAAACATATGCTTATAAAGAGATTCATTTCATAGCTTCAAACATGCTTGACTTGTTAGTTCAAGTGTGTGGAATTTTTGCAGTAGCAACTTGCGATACATGCTACGTTTTCTTCAGAGGGGAATAATATCCAAAGAAGTTTTCATATATTATTTCGGTGTTTGTTTAAGTGTTCTCATACGGGCACTGCAGGTGACACTTTGGGTTCAGAGGTCACTGTTTCAATATGGTACTAAAGAACGACACGTGGTGTTTTTCCTTGTGAGGAGTACATCGTCATTTTATCGTTGTCTTGTACTGGTGAAGCCTTCACCTAGACTAATGCTTAGTCTCTGAATATATATAAGTTTGATACTAACAAACAAGCCCATTTAAATTGAAAAGGAGCCCCAGGGAGACCAGAGATTCAGAACCTGAGGAGATCTAGACTTGCTTTATTTAGGGCTTTACAACTGCAGAGAGGGCTTGGCAGTAGGAAAAATAATGTGGTTCAGGGACTGTTAGACAGACCCACGTCCTGTCCGGTCTTGACGTTATCCTTAGGATGACACTTAAATGACAGAATTACTCCGTCACCAACTCGAAACACCAACTCCTAGACCCTTTGTTCTAACTAACATACTTGCTCTTCTGAGCACTGCAGTCCGAGAGCGGTGGTGTAGCCAAGTGGTTACAGCGTTCGCTCATAACACACTGAGTGAGTGAGTGAGTGAGTTGGGTTTTACGCCGCCTTTAGCAACATTCCAACAGTACATGTGGGGAATCACGGCGGGGGACACCAGAAATGGGCTTCACACATTTTACCCATGTGGGGAATCGAACTCGGGCGAACGCTTTAACCACTAGGCTGAGTTCGGCGTAAAACTAAACTCACTCACTCATTTTATCAATATGTAGTATAGTCATTCAAGTTGACAGACCATTACCTTGGTTGAGTGTCTGAATAACGCGTTAAACCTTTGTCTCCATTTACAGGCGTCACGTGTGTGTTCATCACCGTCAGATGGCGCAACCCATCCCCGTGCGGCAAAGCTACATCCGACCTATATACCGCCAGACCATGGGCATGTGTGAGAACTACAGAATCTGTCCCCGATATAGGTAAGTTAGCCAGGATCTGTACGGCTGTCTGAAATGATCGATAATCGGAAATATCGTCAATAGGAAACATTATTAATGATTAAAGATAAGAAAATTGTGCTATCGATAATATTGTAGATTAATATTTGTGATATTTTTGTCATTTTTGCTCAGAGTTACGTTTCCGATATTTATCAATAATCGATCGATATTAAGATTACAATTATAGATCTCTATGATCTATATCGATAGCCAGCTCTAGATAGGTATGTTACACACAGATAAGGGAGTCTGTTACAACTAAAGGTTTGGTTTGGTTATTGTCTTACGCCGCACTCAGCAATATTCCAGCTATATGACGGCGGGCAGCCTGTAAATATTCGAGTCTGGACCAGACAATCCAGTGATTAACATGAAGATGACATGTGTCAACCCAGTCGGCGAGCCTAACCACCCGACTCCGTTAGTCGCCTCTAACGACAAGCATGGGTTTCTGAAGACCTATTCTAACCCGGATCTTCACGGGTCGACAACAAGGATCTCAAATATGGATATAGAAGATCAATAGCATTTATGATGTACAGACTATCAATGTATACAGCATGTAAATTCACGCAGCTTGTGCATTTTAAAAAGTTAATAATATTTACATGGTAAATAATTGACTTAAGGTGTTGCCGTGGATACTGATTGTGCTTCATCTTCTGCTACTACAGTTTAGCTTACGCGGTAGCGTTCCGAACCATCTTCCACGTCCGCATCAGCACGAAGAGTGTCCACGACTGCTGCCCCGGCTGGGGAAGGAAGTCAAAGCGAGACAAGGACTGCATGAAACGTAAGTAGGAACACGCGTGAGGAGACGTTTCTGTATATGAACAACTCCCTCGACTGGTAAACTGCTATACTGTTACGGTGTGAAGGCGCTTTACGCCGCCCTCAGTCTTCACAGACGTTGTTTTCAAAGACGTCTCAGACGCCATTTTGCCTCAGAACTCCTGATCACACCCAAACGGGAAGCGTTTCGACCTTCCTCCGCCGGACGATGATCCCGTCATTACGTACACATAACCAAAGACGAAAATACATTCTATATACGTCTTTGACATAAGCGACCGGAAGTTGCAGACGTTCAGATCGAGGCTGCCAGAAATGAAGCTCGTTGGTAAATAGTGACATTGTGACAGACAGCACCGCTAATTCGACTCTACCAGCAATTGTAGGTGCAATTACATTAAAATGTTAACAACGTCAACTATGACAGGTGTCACGTGACCTGTGTTATCATGGCTGCAGCTGCAGGGCGGGCCAGCGTCAACTTGGCGGAGATGTTGAGAAAATATTTCCTCAAGTGAAGATGTATCGGTTTTCGTAATATACGTTTCCAATCCAAATGCTGCATGTCTGATTTCAGTTGTGGAAACAGCTCAATGACATGCTCCATAGTTCAAAGGAAATCGGTCTGGCATTTCGTTACCCACGCAGATTGTCCTCAATATGAGAGGGTGAAGTAACCGTGGTTGGTATTTGACGATGTATCTCCTGACTGTGTGTGTGCTTGTTGCAGCGGTGTGTCAAGGTGGCTGCTTCAATGGCGGTCAGTGCACGGCTCCCCACACATGTGAGTGCTCGGAGGGGTGGACAGGCAAGAGTTGTGACCAGGGTATGTACAGCAAGCACAGATACAGCATTTGATATATTTGTGGTGGTAGTAAACATTAGATGTAAAGTAGTAAGTATTTGGAATTTCTTTATATTTCATCAGGTTTTTCGGTTATATATTGTTTTTAGATGTAAAGGTTGGTATGTTATGAACGTTTAATTAAATGTCAGGGCTAGGCGTACGTAAATAACAGCGAGATCATAGCGTATTGCATCAGTCAGAGCAGGGCATGTTGTATCACAGAAACATCATGGCAGCGAGATCCTGGCGTACTTCATCACAGCCAGATTGTGGCGTATGATAATACCACAGTTTGATCCTGGCGTATTGCATCACAGCCAGATCATGGCGTATATATACCACAGTGAGATCCTAGCGTATTGCATCACAGCCAGATCGTGGTGTATATATACCACAGTGAGATCCTGGCGTACTTCATCACAGCCAGATCATGGCGTATATATTCCACAGTGAGATCCTGGCGTACTACATCACAGCCAGATCATGGCGTATATATTCCACAGTGAGATCCTAGCGTACTTCATCACAGCCAGATCGTGGCGTATGATAATACCACAGTTTGATCTTGGCGTATTGCATCACTCCGATGCCAACAGCGTGTAATATCAATCATATCACAGCGAATAGTATCCTCACAAATAGGTTTTTACATTATGGTGTAGTGTCCTTACGAATAGGTTGATACATCATGGTGTCGTAGTTTCAAATAGATTAATGGTGCAGTATCTTTAAAAATAGGTTGATGGTGAAGTACCTTTACAAATAGGTTGATGGTGAAGTACCTTTACAAATAGGTTGATGGTGAAGTACCTTTACAAATAGGTTGATGGTGAAGTACCTTTACAAATAGGTTGATGGTGAAGTACCTTTTACAAATTGGTTGATGGTCTAGTACCTTTACAAATAGGTTGATGGTGTCGTAGTTTCAAATAGATTGATGGTGAAGTACCTTTACAAATAGGTTGATGGTGTAGAACCTTTACAAATAGATTGATGGTGGAATAACTTTACAAATAGGTTGATTGTGTAGAACCTTTACAAATAGGTTGATGGTCTAGTACCTTTACAAATAGGTTGATGGTGTCGTAGTTTCAAATAGATTGATGGTGAAGTACCTTTACAAATAGGTTGATGGTGATGGAGAAGAACCTTTACAAATAGGTTGATGGTCTAGTACCTTTACAAATAGGTTGATGGTGTCGTAGTTTCAAATAGATTGATGGTGAAGTACCTTTACAAATAGGTTGATGGTGCAGTACCTTTACAAATAGGTTGATGGTCTAGTACCTTTACAAATAGGTTGATGGTGTCGTAGTTTCAAATAGATTGATGGTGAAGTACCTTTACAAATAGGTTGATGGTGCAGTACCTTTTCAAATAGGTTGATGGTCTAGTACCTTTACAAATAGGTTGATGGTGTCGTAGTTTCAAATAGATTGATGGTGAAGTACCTTTACAAATAGGTTGATGGTGCAGTACCTTTACAAATAGGTTGATTGTGTAGAACCTTTACAAATAGGTTGATGGTCTAGTACCTTTACAAATAGGTTGATGGTGTCGTAGTTTCAAATAGATTGATGGTGAAGTAAGTGTCCCTTTACAAATAGGTTGATGGTGCAGTACCTTTTCAAATGGGTTGATGGTCTAGTACCTTTACAAATAGGTTGATGGTGTCGTAGTTTCAAATAGATTGATGGTGAAGTACCTTTACAAATAGGTTGATGGTGCAGTACCTTTTCAAATAGGTTGATGGTCTAGTACCTTTACAAATAGGTTGATGGTGTCGTAGTTTCAAATAGATTGATGGTGAAGTACCTTTACAAATAGGTTGATGGTGCAGTACCTTTACAAATAGGTTGATGGTGCAGTACCTTTACAAATAGGTTGATGGTGTCGTAGTTTCAAATAGATTGATGGTGCAGTACCTTTACAAATAGATTGATGGTGCAGTACCTTTACAAATAGGTTGATGGTGTAGTACCTTTACAAATAGGTTGATGGTGCAGTACCTTTACAAATAGGTTGATGGTGTCGTAGTTTCAAATAGATTGATGGTGAAGTACCTTTACAAATAGGTTGATGGTGGAATAACTTTACAAATAGATTGATGGTGAAGTACCTTTACAAATAGATTGATGGTGAAGTACCTTTACAAATAGGTTGATGGTCTAGTACCTTTACAAATAGGTTGATGGTGTCGTAGTTTCAAATAGATTGATGGTGAAGTACCTTTACAAATAGGTTGATGGTGCAGTACCTTTACAAATAGGTTGATGGTGAAGTACCTTTACAAATAGATTGATGGTGTCGTAGTTTCAAATAGATTGATGGTGAAGTACCTTTACAAATAGGTTGATGGTGCAGTACCTTTACAAATAGGTTGATTGTGTAGAACCTTTACAAATAGGTTGATGGTCTAGTACCTTTACAAATAGGTTGATGGTGAAGTACCTTTTACAAATTGGTTGATGGTCTAGTACCTTTACAAATAGGTTGATGGTGTCGTAGTTTCAAATAGATTGATGGTGCAGTACCTTTACAAATTGATTGATGGTGCAGTGCCCTTACAAATAGGCTGATGGTGTAGTACCTTTACAAATAGGCTGATGGTGAAGTACCTTTACAAATAGGTTGATGGTTCAGTACCTTTACAAATAGATTGATGGTCTAGTACCTTTACAAATAGATTGATGGTGCAGTACCTTTACAAATAGATTGATGGTGCAGTACCTTTACAAATAGGCTGATGGTGTAGTACCTTTAGACATAGGTTGATGGTGAAGTACCTTTAGACATAGGTTGATGGTGAAGTACCTTCACATATAAGTTGATACATCATGATGTAGATCCTTTTTAAATATGTTTACACAACATGGTGTAGACCATCCAATAGGTTTATCTACCATGGTATGATGATATCTCTGACCGGATTACCTGCAGATATCAACGAGTGTGCTACACCCAACAACTGTCAACAGGTGTGTCACAATCTACCCGGGCGATACGAGTGTGGATGTCACGATGGATTCGATCTTCTTCCGGACAAAGTGACGTGTAAATGTGAGTAGATATGTCATGACACCATGTATATCTGTGTATGATAGCACTGTATGTCCATGTCAGTCTGAAGGTCTGTATATTCATGGCAGTTAAGGGTTGTGGGGTAGCCTAGTGGTTATAGCGTCCGCTCGTCACGATGAAGACCCGGGTTCGATTTCCTACATGGGTACAATGTGTAGCGGCGTAAAACCATACTCACTCACTTATGGCTGTTAAATATTATTTATTTCACTGTGTTTCCCGTTCATAAATGCAGAAGTTTATGTCTGTTAAGACTATGTGTACTTCCTTTAATGATTGGTACTGGGAGGCCATGTGGCATTGCCCGCTGTAATAGATTATGTATATTTTGTACACAGAGATTTAGAAGATGACTGACACTTCGTAATAAAATGTCCATTCTATTCACATTTTAGGCTAAATTATAAATATTTGGTTAGGTGTTGCGAAACATGTTAGAGAAACTTCAAATTACGAAATGTCAATAGTTAACTCAAACCCATCTGTCACATATGATGATACGTATGATAATATTATTTTGTTTTATTATACATGGGGCTACGGCCTTTAGTATGCATAGAAGAATTGATGTTAGTGTGAGCCTCTGAATATCTTGGTTGCTTGGTTTGTTGTTTAACGCCGCACTCAGCAATATTCCAGCTATATGGCGGCAGTCTGTAAATAATCGAATCCAAACCAGACAATCCAGTGATCAACATCATGAGCATCGTTCGACGTAATTGGAATACGAGGCCATGTGTCAAGGAAGTCGCCTCTTACGACAAGCATGGGTTACTGAAGACCATCACGCCGAAGACCCGGGTTCGAATCCCCACATGGGTACAATGTGTGAAGCCCATTTCTGGTGTCCCCGCCGTGATATTGCTGGAACTTTGCTAAAAGCGGCATAAAACCAAACTGACCAATTCTAACCCGGATCTTCACGGGTTCTGAATACCTGTGTAAACGTGACACTGTGTGACAATCCGTGACCCTGTTGTTTCAGTGTGCATCTCCTGCATGTCGGAGTACAAGGAGATGAAGAAGACCATCAGCAGCCTCATGGTCAAGGTGAAGAATCTCGAGGATGAAAAGGTAACCGTTGCTACACAGAAACCCCTTGACAATTTGCAACACAAAATCCTTGCGGCAGGTAGCCGATGAATTAATGTGACGCTGTGGTAACACAGTAAGGATGCAAGCATGTTTAATTGACTGAGTGAGTGAGTTTAATTTTACGTCGCACTCAACAATATTACAGCTATATGGCGGCAGTCTGTAAATAATCGAATCTGGACCAAACAATCCAGTGATCAGTAGTATGAGCATCGGCCTACGCAATTGGGATACGATGACGTGTAGTCAGCAAGCCTGACCACCCGATCCCGTTAGTCGCCTCTTACGACAAGCAAGGATTATTGAAGATCCATTCTAACCCGGATCTTCACGAGTCGCAAGGATGTTTAATGGATGTTTTGTTTCCATGGAATAACTCGGTGTCCTCTTTCAGAACTTCCTGATGGGGAATGTATCCTACCTGGCTGACCATTACCAGGAAGCCATGGTAACCATGCACGAGCTGAAGTCAGCTACCAGACCCCCTCCCACCACAACAACGCCCGACCCCATCAAATTTCATCCGGCCTACGACCAGCATGGCTCCATCCCATTGGACAGGATAGCCTCGCTGAGTGAACAGATCTCACTGCTGGAAGAGAGATTAGAAGGATGTGAGTAGTAGCAGCAATAGCAGTTGTAGTAGTCGTAGCAGCAGTAGTAGTAGTAGTTGATATTGTAGTAGTAGTAACAGTAGTAATAGTAACATCAGTAATAGTAGTTTTAGAAGTAGCAGTAGCACCAATAGTAGTAGTAGTAGCAGCAGTAGTAGTAGTAGTAGTAGCAGCAGCAGCAGTTGTAGTTGTTGTAGTAGTAGTAGTTACAGCAGTAGTAGTAGCAGCAGCAGTAGTAGTAGTAGTATCAGTAATAGTAGCAGTAGCAGCAGCAGTAGTAGTAGAAGTTGTAGCAGCAGCAGCAGCAGTAGTAGTAGTAGCAGTAGTAGTAGTAGTAGTAGCAGCAGTAGTAGTAGTAGTATCAGTAATAGTAGTAGTAGCAGCAGCAGCAGCAGCAGTAGTAGTAGTAGTAGCAGCAGTAGTAGTAGTAGTATCAGTAATAGTAGTAGCAGCAGCAGCAGCAGCAGTAGTAGTAGTAGTAGCAGCAGTAGTAGTAGTATCAGTGATAGTAGCAGTAGCAGCAGCAGCAGCAGTAGTAGTGGTAGTAGTAGTAGCAGCAGCAGCAGCAGTAGTAGTAGTAGTAGCAGCAGCAGCAGCAGTAGTAGTAGTAGCAGCAGTAGTAATGGTAGTAGTAGTAGCAGCAGCAGTAGTAGTAGTAGTAGCAGCAGCAGCAGTAGTAGAAGTAGTAGTAGTAGCAGCAGCAGTAGTAGTAGTAGTAGCAGTTATAGTAGCAGTAGCAGCAGCAGCAGCAGTAGTAGTAGTAGCAGCAGCAGCAGCAGCAGTAGTAGTAGTAGTAGTAGCAGCAGCAGCAGTAGTAATAGTAGTAGTAGTCGCAGCAGCAGTAGTAGTAGTAGTAGCAGCAGCAGCAGCAGCAGTAGTAGAAGTAGTAGTAGCAGCAGTAGTAGTAGTAGTAGCAGTTATAGTAGCAGTAGCAGCAGCAGCAGCAGCAGTAGTAGTAGTAGTAGCAGCAGCAGCAGTAGTAGTAGTAGTAGTAGCAGCAGCAACAGTAGTAATAGTAGTAGTAGCATGGAACAGAACACGTTTTTTGCCCACCTACAATATCTGTCTTGTCAACAGGTACCTGCCGAAACAACGAAAAAAGACGAGGGCGGGGAAACTACTGAAGATGAAGATGATGTGGCGTTGACACTGACGTGGTGGTGACAATGTGCTGTCCATATTGACATGGCGCTGATCCTGACGTCGTGTGAACATTGACGTGACCTTGACACTGACGCCATGTACATATTGACGTGATCTTGACTCTGGCGTTGTGTTAACATGGACGTGGTGTTTTGTGGTGAATGTAGACCATTCAACCACCTGAGTGACTGGACACTCCAAGCTTATGTGTTCTACCTTTTCAACACCGGAAGTGTTCATTGTGTACGACAACAAACTATAGACACGTAGCAACATCCAGCATGGCCACATACACGTGACGATGCTTAGTTTGTTCATCCCGGAAGTGACGTCAACTGCATCTACCGGAAGAAGATGGCTGCTTGGTGGTCGGTACAGACACGCCCCTGCCAGTGTAGACAAGCTGTTCCTGTACAAACATACTATGTTCTGTACAGACACACGACCTCCTGTACAGACCTCTGTTCGTCCATGTCATGTGCCTTTTCACGGACGGTCCGAGAGCATTCTCAGATCGAGCTTTATTTCTCAGGAAAATCGAATGTGTTACTCATGCTACAGATTTATTGCTTGTGTACTGATAGATGTATCAGGTGTGCTATATCTTCCATGCAAGTGTATTCAATATGTTGTATTTGATATCTGATATAGTGGAACCCGTTAATCCAGACTACGTCGGTTTGGAAAACTCAGCTTAATCTCCATGTTGGTTGGGTTTAAACTGAGGGACAAAAGAAAGTGTACCGAGTTTGTTTAGATGTAAAAAATCTAGAAAGACCTCTTCTTAATTTGAATATGTTTATTCAAACATCACTAATATTTGCAACTGTTAGTGAAATTTTGTGAAAAATATTTTTGTGGAAATTTTGTGGAAATATATTCTTTCAGTGAAACACGTGACCATCTATAAAATGTAAATTTGTGCAAAAACCCCCAAATTTATTGATTTCCAATGATAACAGTTGTAGGATAACCGTGAGCAATAGTGTATTCTGTGCATTAATTTTTTTTCTTAAAACAAAATTTTAAATAACATTCAGAAATAAAACTGTGCAGATGTATTTTCGCGTGCTGACTAAGTGCAATAACGTTATTTCATATGTAAGCTTGCTGAAATCAAGATATTTGCAACTGAAAATAACACATATGATGAAAACAACAGGGAGGTATAGTTACTTTTGCTCCTCGGGTTATATAAACATGACCCCATGCCTCAGATAATACAAGAAAAATCGGCAAGTCTTGATGTGCTTTCGGTGTTGTACTATGCCGTAATCTGGCAATCCCGAATTGGTCCAGAGAGTTTCAAGTGATACCCTGTACAGGGGTTGATTGATAAACATAGTTGTCAGGTGCTGCCCTCTACTTTACAGTGGCGTTTGAAGGTACATCCCTACATAGTGCAATTCTCATATCTTCACATGTGGTTGGGCACCTGGGATTTCATGAAAAAAAAAATGTTGGCACATTAGATGCTTGAAAAAATAATTCTGCTTCCGACCGTTATAAATGATTTTTTCAGCCACAAACATACATTGCTGCAAGATGTTTTTTGGAAAAATAGTATTTAGGCTAATAGGTTTAGCTGATATCAGGTTCTGCAGCTGCAAGTAAAAAATGTATAGTCTTCTACAAAATCCCAGCCATGGTCGGTCCCGAAACCCCTTGTCTGCAAATGCTTGATCACTACAGTTTTTCACAAGTCCTTGCTTATTTTAGGGGGATTTGTCACAGAAAGCCAATTTGATGATTTTAAAAAAAATAAAATAGCGCCATTACATCATACAATTTCCACAGGAGGAGATTTCACTTTAAAGGAATCCTTCGATTAGAGGCTCAGAACTTACCAATTAACCCTTGTATTACATGTAAATCTCACTTTCTTTAACGTTACATAACTGATTAGGTATACATATAGGAGTTAGTTCTACACCGGTATGAAGGTCAGCGAAAATCAATCGCGGCATCGTCCCGTGGCTTTAAGATCGCCTACGTGTAAAAATAAAGTTCCTGAAGTTAAATATATAACGTTGAAGAAGATGGGTTTTACTTACATATGCATGTCTCCTCTGAACAGTTTGATCACAATGATAACCTATGCCTTCTGTACTATGGTATTTAATTATGATAACGAATTAGCTTGGTGGGGTATAGCCAACGTCACTTCAGCGTGGAAATAATTCTACGTAACCATGATAATTTTGCATATGTGGAAAATATCCTACGTATCTATGGTAATGAGGTCTATGTGGAAATATATTCACATAACCATGATACCGTGGTCTATGTGGAACTATATCCGACGTAATTATGGTAATGAGGTCTATGTGGTAATAATTCTACGTAACCATGGTAACCTGGTGTGTGTGGAAATATATCCTACGCAACTGTGGTAACGAAGTCTATGTGGAAATATATTCCCCGTAACTACTATAGCGTGGTGTATGTGGAAATATATCCTACTTAACTATGATTATGAGGTCTATGTGGAAATATATCCCACATAAACATAACATGGTCTATGTGGAAATATATCTTACGTAACTATGGTAGCGCCCATATAGCTACTACCTTAATAGATACTTCCGAGAAATATATTAACTAATATATAACTACTGGTTTGGTGTAGATCTTTCTCGTTATAACTGCTATTACGCTTCATGGTGAGACAAAGTTAAGACGTCATCATAATTATGCACTGGGCGTCCTCAACGTAATAGGGATGTTGTGAGACAATGGAGTGACGTAATACGGTCACGTAGACTCGACGAAAAATTGTCACGACGTAATGAAGTCGACCTGGAAAGACGTAATGACGTATTACTGTCGACCTGGTGAAGCTGTGAAGTGTTATAATATCGCCACGGAGAGATCGTAATGACGCAAGAACGTCGATGTTGTGAAACACTGTAATGACGTAATATTGTCGACGTGCTTAAACAATGTAATGACTAAGTTATGTCGACGTGGTGAAACAGTGTAGCGGTAAGGTCATGTCGCCATGAAGAGACATTATCGTGACGTCATATGTCACATGGTGAGACAATGTCATGACGTTATCGGTTGTAAACGTTACAGTTTGTTTGAAGTAGATATGCTGCCTTATCCTGTTGAAAGTCTGTTCTCGTAGACATTGAAACTGTTGTAATTTAGAATGTTTACTATGTCTTGCTAGATAAACAATGCAACAGCCATATTGCAACATATAACAGTAAATCATGTATAGAAACATGTCTGTCGGATCTCGTGTGTAGATGCACGTGCTTGGATGACTGTGTATTTTATATGTCTTGGTTGTTTTGAACTATACTGATGTACAAAAGAAAGTACACACCTGCTGTTTTGAGACTATTTATAAAAATACATATTTTGCTAGCAATGTTCCAGTTGGGTACGGTATCTATGGTGTTATTGCAACACGTACACAATGTTTGTGACTTGTGTGTCACAATCAAAACACTTTTCTTAATATTACGCTGTTTTTAGGAAAACATTTTACCAAAGCATCAGGTGCGTACTTTCTTTTGTACGTCGGTTTATGTATGTAAATATTACAAAAAATGATTTTTATTACGATGTCTCTCTGTCGCTGATTCCTCTGCGTGCTTTGTAATAATGTGAGAATATAGACTAGCACTACGAGAGTATAGATTTATACTGTAAAGACGTAGACGTGCTTAGTGAGTACTGTAAGAATACTGAATATATATATTAATATTGTAAAAATATGATGGAATACAGTGAACAATTTGAGGAAGAAGAATGAGGACTATTTTTATACCACTTGCTTTTTATACCACCATGTGATACCACTTGCTTGTCAACGACATTAGAATCTATGTCGAAACGTTACCTATACGGAATAGAGAAGTTGTATATCCATAAAAATAGTCCTCATTCTTTTTGTCCTCAACTTCTAGAATGCCAATCAAAGAAGTCAATTTGAGGAAGAAAATGGTGGAACATTGTGAGCTTGTAGACGTGCATATGCCTAAAGAGTATGAATTAGATTAATGTATGAATTAAGTTTCCATTCTAGGAATTTAAATAAAGGAGTTATAATATATCGACGTCCAAGTTAAGTAAATATGTTACAGGGAATATGTGTAAACAGGGCAGGCCTATAAGCAGGGTATTTTCTGGAAGTGTTTGGGTCTCCGTGTAATTCCTGATTTTACTCGAGGAAATATGCCTGACATCTGGAACTTTAAAACACATCACTTATGTCCAAGAGTGAGTGAGTGAGTGAGTATGGTTTTACGCCGCTTTTAGCAATATTCCAGCAACATCACGGCGGGGGACACCAGAAATGGGCTTCACACATTGTGCCCATGTGGGGATTCGAACCCGGGACTTCGGCGTGACGAGCGAACGCTTTAACCACGAGGCTACCCCACCGCCCCCTTATGTCCAAGAAACATTTATAAAGGTATTATCACTGTTTTGGTGCCATGCTGTTTCCAAGGGTGAATAATTTAAGATATTTCCTAATGCATGTTCCCTGTGGCATACTCACTGGTACTCTGACTTGGTGAAGAAACATTTGTTTTGTTAGATAAATTGAAAACACTCGTACGTAAGTTAACATGCATTATATCATTGAAAAGAAAGTATACCTAGCAATGGTATGGTAGCTACGCTCTGTATATCTTAGCTGTTAGTTATAATCTTTGTCATGCAAGAATTCCAGACGAATAAACACATTTGTTCGTTATAGATGTTCAGTGGTTCCTGGGTGGTTGACGGTGGTGGGTATTGAAGAGGGTTGAAGGATCGTGAATAAAGTGCATGTAGAAGAGTGATGGTGCGTGGACTTTAGTGGAGCGTTGAGATGGTTGATGGGGCGTGAATATTGATTGAACGCTGAGATTGTTGATGGGAAGATAAGAGGGTTGATTTACCGTAAAGTGAGTTGATGAGACGTGGAGACGGTTGATGGGAAGATTGTTAGGGCGTAGAGTTAAAGGGTTGATGGGACGCTGAGGTGCTTAAATGAACATTCTGATGGTTGATAGGCAATTAGAAGTTGGACGAACGTGAATCCATAAATCGTGTCATGTATTCAGATTGATATGATGATTGAAAGCTGAGAGGTTTGCTGGAAGGCTGAAGCGCTTCAAGGAACAGGAACATTCATATGGTTGATAGGATGATTGAAAACTGAGAGGTTTAGATGAAATGTTGGCGAGCTTAATGAACAGGAACAAACAGATGGTTTATAGGATGATTGATAGCTGAGAGAATTGATGGAGAGTTGATCGAGGGTCTTAAGGAACATTCAGATGGTTGATTGGATGATGGATAGCAGACAGGTTTGATGGAGTGTTGATCGAGGGTCTTAAGGAACATTCAGATGGTTGATAGGATGATAGATAGCTGAGAGGATTGTTGCAAAGTTGAGAAGGTTGATGAAACGTTGAGAGGCGTGAAGAAAGTTGATGAATCGTTAAGAGGATTGATGGACTGTCGAGAGTGGTACTCAGGTGGCTGTGTGCCAGTATAGGTTAAATAGACAATCATAAGTTGGGTGACAGGTTAAAAGGGTGGATGGACCGGTAAGAAATTCAATGGATGACGGAGAAGTTGTTGCAACGTTAAATGCGTTGATTAGACATGGATAGAGGAGTGCTTCGGGGGTGGTGGAACATGACGATGGTTCATAGAAGGTTGAGAGGGTTGATGGAACATGGACAAAACTGATTGGGCGTGGAGAGTGAATGTTGATGGATACACTGAAAATGTTGATGGAACGTTGATAGTGTTGATGGAAGATTCAGAAAGCTGAGAAGGTTGACGGAACGTTGAAAAGGTTTGATGGGGCGTGTTAAAGGTTGATTTGACGTCAGGAAGCTGACAGAAAGGTGAGAGGTTGGACTGGAGGTTGAGAGGTGAGGTGAGGTGAAATTGGGTTTAACATCGTGCTTGAGAATATTTCGCTCATATGACGCCGTGCATGCGTGTGCATGTGTATGTGCGGTTGCTTGTACTAGCCCAGACTAAA